CGGGCTCGGGTTGCCAACCGTCCCGTATTACGCGGGACATCCCGAATTATGGGCATTTTTGATTTGTCCCGACCGTGACAGCTCCAGTTCCGTTGTCCAATCACAGCCTCCTAAGTCAATGACGCGCGAAAAACTCCCGGTTGTTGTGACCCCACGAGGGGCCCCTTGAGGGGGGATCCCGATAACGTGTCATTGCACTTTACTGCATTGACGATCAAAGGGGCGCTCACGCAGTTTGTCGTTGCATTTGACTCTTAGCCAGTCGTTGTCTCGGGGCCCCTGGCCAGCTCGGGGCCCCGAGCAATTGCTTGGTTTGCCTGTCCTGTCGCGACGGGCTTTTGACACCTCTGAACACGGGTCCAGTGAGGCACCTGGTGGGCCGCGAAGGTACTGCAGGTGGGCCGCCAGAGGTCATTTACAATAAATAAATAAAATGTTTTTAATTTTCAATTTTGAAAAGTTTGAATAATATAAAAATATTTATGATGCGGCACATTAGTTATTTGAAACATTAGTTGATGAAGCACAAACAATAAAACAATAAGGCTCTCGCTCCAAACGGCTAATCTTGTCCGCCTGTCGTTGTTCAACAAACGCGGCGCCCTCTTGTGGTATTAAAGTCAATAAACCGCATTGTCCGCACTCCAAGGCGCATTTAAGAGCCTTTAAAATCCTCACAATCCGACAGTGCCTTATAATCCGGATTCTTATACATGGATCAATTGGTTGATCGGTTGATCCGTACTGGTTGTTCACTCTGCCAAACACGCCAAAGCTCGTCTACGACGGCGAGACGCTGAGCGGGATACGGAGCTGCTTTCAGGGCGCGTCGGAGAAACGAAGCTGTCGTTCTCGCCGAGCGCTTCATGAGATTAAAGAGCGAGAGACGGCGCCCTTTTCTCTGCAGGAGCTGAACCATCTTAACGGGGAAATAAGTTATTCTAAAAGCAGCCGGAGATTTAAGGCGTGGATGGCGAGGCGGGCGGCGGCATCGATCGGACCCTGAAAGCAACGTCTCCACCTCCCCCCATCCACCCGCCATCCACCCGCCATCCACCCGCCCCGACGCCAAACGTCTGACTGCAGGATCTGATGCGCCTTATTGTGCGGAAAACACGGCACGTGAGCTCCGGAGAAAACGGTTAAATGGGTTAAATTCTTAAGGTCATTTAATCATCTCTAGTTCATGTTTTGATCAGAGTTGTGATTAAAGGTTTGGGCCGCCAAAGATTTTCAGATTTCAAAGTGGGCCGCGGCGTTCTGGAGTTTGGGAACCGCTGATCTAACTGAAATGTGATGCTCATCACTAAGAAACCTCTGTTTGTGTGAAGGAGCGCTTCATATGTTCACCGAAAGCAGGTCCTCTTCACCGGCTCCTGAGAGCCTTTGTTCATCTCCACGTTACCTGGAGGACTTAAAGGGAGGAGGCTGCAGTCTGCAACCTCACCACTAGATGTCACTAAACACTACACACTGTCCTCAACAGACACGTTCATATTGTAATGGAAATGTGTGAACGATAAATGAATAAAGCAACATTTGTGTGAGTTGACAGCTTGTTTGTGTTGTTTGTGTCCTGCAGTGAATGTGAGGAAGACGTATGAAGAGCTGCAGAGAGGACATATTTATCTACATGTTAACAGGAGGACGTCACACTGCAGCCTTTCACTTAATGTGAATTATTACAGAGAATGAAGAGACGTTTATGCTGCTTACAGGTTCATCAAGATGATCTTCACATATTAACAACACTTTTATGATGTTTCCTTTTAGCAGAAGTAAGACGTTAACATTAAAGCAGCTTCTTGTTCTGCAGCTCATGCACACTAATGACGGAAAGAGGAAGGAAGCTCTGCTGGGTGTTGAACAGCAGCTTGTTACCAACTCCAGAAGAGACGAGCTGACCTCAGAGACATCAGCCTCCTCTTTAATGTAGACGTGTTTCTGGTGACTTACTGAATAAAGAGTTTCTGATCTGCTGATTGAACACAGAGGAGCAGCTATGAGTCCATCAGCCGGTGGATTAGTCGTCTTCCTTCTCTCTGTACAAGGTACTGTACTTCTACATTTATATTGTGAGGCCGTTACACACCTCACACACACACAGGGAGCTGTGTTTTTATGGCGTCCGATCAGTGTCAATAGTTGCAAATGCAGAAAGATTCACAAATGCATTCCAGGACACACGTGAATAAATTGCGATTTATGCTCATTTGTTTGTGAATGTATTTGTAGCACATTGGCATCATAACGGTTTTCATCTACAGAGCGTTGCTACATGGCTTATTTGATGAAATCGCACTTTCTTGTTTCTTGTTCTTCTGAGTTTGTGTCCTGATGGTTGAAATGTTCTTATTGTAAGTCGCTTTGGATAAAAGCGTCAGATAAATGACGCGTGATGTGAATTGCGGAGGCCTGGACACACGCCCTTCACGCTGTTTCCGTTATTACGTTTTGTTGATCACCTCGAAAATGTTAATAATGTTCATTCCTACATGTCTACGAATCTACGTGTCAAATCTCATGAATATATTCAGAAATGTACAAGTCTAACTACTGCAGCAAAGTTAATTTGATGAGAGAAAGAAGAAGACTCGGGCGACGATGGAAGCTCTTTTATTGCGTAATTTGGCGGTGTTGAAGCGGGACATCTTATTGTGAAAGGTTCAAATTGGGGTCCCGGTTATGTTGGCAGCATTGATGGTAGTTTTGGCAACTCTTTAACCAACATTTAATCTCCGTGAAAAACTATTTCTCTGTGCGCATTTGCATTTACTGATCTGACCCCATGTTTTCAGTTAACACACAGGTCTGATGTCATGAAACACAATTAGTGACTAAACATTAACAAGGGAGAAACGCTCTGAAGGATTTGTCCCTGTTGAACGTCCTCTAACCGCTCAGCAGCGTTTCTTTGCATTAAGAGGCCGTTTTTCACTCTGAGGACGTTTGTTCTTCTTCTTGAAGGATTTTTGGGACATTTCGTAACTTTGATCCGTGTCACAGATAATTGATTGACAGCCGGATGCTGAGCGCCGAGTCATCAGTGAGATGTAATCTATATGTCACAGTATCGTTGACCTCAGAGTTCTGCATTTCTCTACAGTTTCCATCTCCACTCTGCAGCAGACTGACCACAGACAGAAGAGCACAGAGCAAAGACACTCTTCTTCTCATCAACCAAACCCTTCTAATACTTCAACTTGAGCTTTTTCAGGTCCACAGGTTCAATACGTCGCTGTTCCTTCCAGCTGCAGAGTCCATGTGGACATCGTGGACTCTTTCATTACTTTCTATAAACTCAATGATTTTCATATTTCTCATAATATCTTTTCTCTTCAGTAAACTACCAATGAGAGTGTGTCCTGTGATGTTGTTCTGAGTGTGACTGTGGTTCCCGATGTGCTGTGTTACAGTGATACAGAGTCAGGATGGATGGAGAGTGAATTACGATCAGACTGACGTCTGTGCTGCAAAAGGATCAAGAGTGTTTATGGACTGTGACATCACACACCCACCTGGAATATATCCCTCTGATATAAAGGACAGATTCTGGTTCACTAAAGAGAAAGATGGTGAACCTGTGGATCTGAAAACAGACTCTGAGTATTCAGACCGTGTGAGGTACAGATGTTTGAGTAAGAGTTGTTATCTGACCATCACAGACGTGAGAGAGAGCGACTCAGCTGAGTACAAATTCAGATTCATGACAAACAAACCAGGAGAGAAATATACTGTTTCACCTGGAGTCACTTTGTTTGTCACAGGTAACATTTTAATTCACATATTAATCATCTACAAATGTTCAACATCTAGAAAACTAGAGTATAAATGTCTTCTGTGAATGTTGACACTTTAATAAATAATATTCACAGATTCAGGTCTCCAGGTGCAGGTGAGAAGATCAGATTCTACCTGGTTGGAGCTGACGTGTCACAGCAGCTGTGTTCTGTCTGATCGTGCTGAATACGTCTGGTACAAGAATGAAAAATACATCAAGAGAGGATCTTCTCTTCTAGTCTCCTCTGGTTCTACAGACAGATATTCCTGTTATTTAAGAGGATCTTGGGATCAACGTTCTCCTGCAGTGTGTAAGTTCACTCCACTGTGTCGGCCTGTGGAGCTTCAACAACATCTCACATGGAGGCACCAGACCGCTGCATGTAAACTAGAGGCATCAAAAAGATGAAGCACAACGTTCCTCAGGAGGTGGAGCCGTGGTCCACTGACCAGAGGGTTGCTGGTTCAATCCCCGGCCCCTGCAGTCTACGTGTAGAAGAGTCACTCACACACTGACACAACAATATGATTCTAATCACAGCTGTAAACACACTGGAGTCTAAATGTTAAAGGAGACACAGATCTTTATTTATGTCATTCTCTCATTAATAGAAACACAAATATAAACCATCAGCAGACAGAATAATGTGATTTTCATAAAGACTCAAGTGAATTATTCCAGAACATAAGTAGAAGTGACGTGTCAGCTGGTGGAGGAAACAATCAATAACTCCTACAACAACTAGAAGTGAGAGGACGGACTCAGCTAAGGACACAAGCAGCATCTAAAGAGAAGAATGTGTGGAGATATGAACATTACAAAGGATTAAAGGCTGCTTATTGTCACTTTACACCAGCAGGAGTCTCACCTGTGACAGCTGCTGTGATGAATACTAGAGATAGTCTGAGAGAAAGACACACAAGTATTCATTCAAATGATCAACTATCTACGCTAACATCTTCTAACCTCTTAGTATGTTTATTCACGTCTCCTCCAGATGGTCCACAGCGTCCCTCTGTGTCAGTGAGTCCCTCTGCTGAGATGCTGGAGGGCGATTCAGTGACTCTGACCTGTAGCACTGATGCTAACCCAGCAGCTAACTACACCTGGTACAAGGAGGATGGAACGTCAGACCCTCGTCTTCTCAGTGAAGAACCTCAGCTGGTCTTCAGCTCCATCCAGTCCTCTGACTCTGGAAATTATTCCTGTACAGCTGAGAACCAGCTGGGGAGGAAGACGTCTGACTTCATCTCTATCGATGTGAAATGTGAGTGAAACAACCTTTTTAAAAGCAACATAATCACTACTGAGTCTGGTGAGTTTCTCCATGACAGGAATCGTCTGATCAACAAACAGCATCTCCTGCACGTTTATCCATGAATCAAGTCCTTCTGATGAGGTAACGTGCTGTTTGTCTAATAACTGTGTGTCTCCAGCTGTTGGTAGAACAACAAGGATAATTCACATCACCAGGTGGACTCTGGTCTCTGTGATGCTGATTCTTCTGCTTGTCTTTTGTCTGTGGACGAGGTAAAACAACTAGAACTCATCCTCACTGAGCTTTTACTTTGAAAAGGTCCTTCAATAGTGAAGATAAAGGTTTATTTGTTGACTCTATTTGTGTATCTGTTTGTTTTATGACTGAATGCAGGAAGAAGAAAGCTGTGAGCTCCACCACTGAACCACATGAGTCCAGAGAGGCTGTGGAGGTGAGACATTTGTCCTCAGAGACAGAACTCACCAAAGGGTCATCGTAGAGAGTCTTGCTGCAACAAACCACACTGCATGTTCTCCTGCAGGCTTAATGTTATTGTTGGAATGCTTCATATGAGCTTTATTCCTTGGGTGACAGATTTATGTTTGTTACACATTAATGAGAATAATTCATATTCGACTGTCATGCTAAGCTAGCTAACGTCATTAGCATCTTACCTCGGAGCAAACAAAGGAGTTTTTATTGGTCGTTGATGGATTCAGTCTTCCACATGTTTAATCCATAAGTGACATCAACCCTCTAAAGGCCTCTGGTCCCTAGTTACGGTTGCTAACGTAGGAATGTACAGTGTGCGTTGGGGGAGGGGCTTAGCCGAGGGTCGGTTGTATCTGAACTGCTTCTCTGAGGCCTTTGACTCTCATCGTCTCTCCATCAGATGGACCTTCATCCTGAGTATGAGGACCTCTCAGACATGGCAGCACAGAGAGAAGACCCAGAGGAGCAGGAGGACCAGGTGTGAAGGTCAGCCAGGTGTCAGTCTGCTGCACTCAAAACAACTTCCTGCTTCCGTTTCTGAGGAATAACTTCATGTGATCTTCTTCAGATGCAGTGAAACCAGAGGGAGACTCACCTGGACGGAGACAGGAACCAGTGGACATATTTCCCTTCAGTACCACAAGTTATTATCTGAGGTCTTTACAAAGTTAAAACTGTAGTTTTTATTTCATTCTCTTTGCTCTTGAATCACTGTTTTTATTTTAAATGTTCTTTTATTCTTAATTGCATTGGTAGAGAACTTTGACTTTCATTGTTGCTGAAATGTGTTTTACTGTTAAACTTGCCTTAAACCATCAGAATTAGTGGCTTGTAGCAGAATATTCATGATGCTTTAATTATAGCTGTGCTGCTACATTGTGTGTGTGATTTAATTGAAATCCAATAAATTGGCTTTAAGAAATACTGATCACTTATCAAGTCTTTGTTCATGGGATTAAAGGACAAAGAGCAGAAATAACATGTATTTTATGAGTAAATGGTCTCTGTGACGTGTTGGTCCTATGGGGGTCCCGGAATGACGAGGATGCAGCAGGATGTTTTCAATAAACAATCTTTTATTTAGCCGTGCGGCTCCGGCTTCCTCGCCTGGCTCGCTCTCACACTCGCCGGATCTCTCCTTCTTAAGTACGAAACACACGCACTGATTAATCCCACCTGAGGCCAATAATGCCTCCCCCGGGCACCGTTCCCCGAGCCACTCCCTTCTCCGTCCCCTCTGCAGCTGAGCCAAACCACGCCCGCCACCACATACCCCCACCGCCCGACTTCGGCCGAGGAGCCGTCCGGCCTAGCCTACTGCCCCCCACCCCCCCTTTCAGGAGCGGGAGAAGAAATTAGCCACAGCCATCTGCGTCCCCGGCCTATGGACCACCTTGAAATTAAAAGGCTGTAGAGCCAATCCAGACCGAGTGATCCGGGCGTTGGCACCTTTATGCGGTGGAGCCATTGGAGCGGGGCGTGGTCCGAACAGAGGGTGAAAGAGCGTCCCAGGAGGTAGTAGCGTAGGGCGCCGACCGCCCACCGGATGGCCAGGCACTCCTTCTCCACCGTGCTGTACCTGGCCTCCCTCTCGGACATCTTCCGGCTGATGTACACCACGGGGCGGGCCACCCCCCCCACCTCCTGGGACAAAACGGCCCCCTGTTCGATGCGTCAGTCTGCAGAATAAAGGGGACAGAGAAGTTAGGAGTATGAAGGAGTGGTTCCCCACAGAGAGCCTGCTTTACCTTCTCAAACGCCTGCCGGCACTGCTCCGACCACTGGACCGGATCTGACGCACCTTTCCGGGTCAGGTCGGTCAAGGGGCTGGTGAGGTCCGCAAAGCCGGGGATGAACCGCCTGTAATACCCCGCCGGCCCCAAGAACCGCCTCACCTCTTTTTTTTGTCTTGGGCCGCGGGCAGGCACCGATAGCTGCCGTCTTGTCCACCTCCTGCGCGTCCCCCAATTGGTACCCCAAATACCGTACCTCTACCCGTCCAACTGCACAGTTCCCCGGGTTGGCGATGAGCCCCCGCCATTAGCTTATCAAACCCCGGCCAATCTGTACCCAAAATGACGGGGTGCGTCAGGCGGGAGCTGACCGCAACCTTCACTCTATCCTTTTTCCCCAGATATCTATTTTCCGCTGATACTACAGGATACTCGTGAACATCCCCATGCACACACCGTATTTTCACCCGCGCTGCCTCCACCAATGCCCCCGGCCGAACCAGGCTCTGGTGAATCATAGACTGCGTACAGCCTGAATCCACCATCGCCTGGCGTGTACCCCCCTGGATTCTTACCGGAACGCGGTACGTCCCTCCCGGACCAGGGAAAGGTGCCGGAACGCCGGCAACTCGGATCACCTGTCCCACCTCCATCAGCGGGCACTCTCTCCGGAGGTGACCGAGCCGCCCGCACCTCCAACACTCCTGCCCCGGCGCTTGAGAATCTCTCTGTGGGGTGGGAAGGGTGCCTGGGTTCCCCCGGGCCGGTGAAAAGGGCGTCCCCAACCGTCATTCGATGGAGCGCGAAACCGGCGACCGCAGCAGCCCCCTGCGTCAGCGGCGGTGTAAAGGACCTCTGAGAGTGTGGAGTACTAGATAGTACTTACTTTTTAATGTATTTTATTTTGTTCGTTACGGCAGTCTGCATTTCCGGTTGTGGTAGGAAAACCGAAAAAGTCGCTTAAAAGGAGGTTAAAAGACAGAAAAGGTTACGGTTTTATTAGTTTTGCTCAGTTTATGAGTCTTACTCAGTGACAACCTTCATCTGTTGCTCCTCTCTGTTGAACTCCTACACAGGCAGACGTGTCAAGTAACAAAGTACAAATACTTTGTTACCCTACTTAAGTAGACATTAAGTAAATGTTTTTTTCCTACTTTATTGAGAATGTGGCACAACGCAGCGTCTTAAATGAAGTGATGTGTGTCTGGATGCGGCTCTAGAAATGAACACAACGGGATTGTGTATTTGCTGATGAAATCTGAAACGGGTCATTTGGCCGATGTTTTGAGAGCCGACCGCTGCCGGTTCAGTGTCGCCCCCCCGCCCTCCACGAATCACCAATCAGGTATCAGTGGAATCCGAAGTAGTAAACCTGGGGGAGACACTGCAGTCTACAGGCCACTTTTCAAACTCGCCGCTGGAGTGTGGACGACTTTGGCGTACCGTCAGCGCCACCACCTCGCACCGCTCGCCGGTCGGATCGTCAGCGCCACGCCTCCCTATGATTGTAATAGTCTGGCCCGCGTTCGGTCGAAGTGGGCGGTATCTGGCCCGAACCTGAAATGAGTTTGACACCCGTGACCTGATCAATGGGAACAACCTGTGTGTCCGTCCTCCGACTCGTGTCATTAAGCCGTCACTGGAAAACGGGTTCTGGTTTCATCGGTTTAGGTTCTGCAGCACGCGGGTCGATACATTCGTCCCTCTGTTGTTTCAGCCTCTCTGAATATCGCCATGTTCCATCATCCGAATGGCAGGTGACGTGATCTGAAGGCACCGTCCGATATATTGTACCGGACTGACATGTTCTGTGTTCAGGTTACACATTAGGAGTTTAATGGAATTTGTTCCGCCTTAAATTACTTTTAGTTTTATAATTTAAGTAGTTTGGAAACCGGTACTTTTATACTTTTACTTAAATAAAAAGCGTGAGTTGATACTTTTAAACCCTAGTATCTATACTTCTACTTGAGTAACGTATGTGAATACTTTTGACCAGGGCCGTTTGAAGGAATTTGGGGGCCCCAAGCAAAATGGACATGGAGGCCCCCCCAAGCCCCCGCTGCACGCACGCAAAACCTACAGGAACCACAGCACAGCCATAAAGTTTAAAATAAAAAAGGGTTTACAGTGTATAAACATAATGTGCATGAAATTTAACAATATAACATTTGCACACTACCATAAAATCAAATATACATTAAAAAAGTGCACAATAACTAAATCCAACATACTTAAAAACACACTCACACTCACATTAGCATTTTTCAGTTCTCACAAACATGTAAAACTTCCTTTTTCTTCTTTTTTTGCTTCCTGAAGCGTAACTCCGCTTCATGATGCCGGGCTCGGGTTGCCAACCGTCCCGTATTACGCGGGACATCCCGAATTATGGGCATTTTTGATTTGTCCCGACCGTGACAGCTCCAGTTCCGTTGTCCAATCACAGCCTCCTAAGTCAATGACGCGCGAAAAACTCCCGGTTGTTGTGACCCCACGAGGGGCCCCTTGAGGGGGGATCCCGATAACGTGTCATTGCACTTTACTGCATTGACGATCAAAGGGGCGCTCACGCAGTTTGTCGTTGCATTTGACTCTTAACCAGTCGTTGTCTCGGGGCCCCTGGCCAGCTCGGGGCCCCGAGCAATTGCTTGGTTTGCCTGTCCTGTCGCGACGGGCTTTTGACACCTCTGAACACGGGTCCAGTGAGGCACCTGGTGGGCCGCGAAGGGGCTGCAGGTGGGCCGCGAGAGGTCATTTACAATAAATAAATAAAATGTTTTTAATTTTCAATTTTGAAAAGTTTGAATAATATAAAAATATCTATGATGCGGCACATTAGTTATGTGAAACATTAGTTGATGAAGCACAAACAATTTAAACGGACAGATTAATAAAACAATAAGGCTCTCGCTCCAAACGGCTCCTCTTGTCCGCCTGTCGTTGTTCAACAAACGCGGCGCCCTCTTGTGGTATTAAAGTCAATATACCGCATTGTCCGCACTCCAAGGCGCATTTAAAAGGCTTTAACTTCCTCACAAAACGACAGTGCCTTATAATCCGGATTCTTATACATGGATCAATTGGTTGATCGGTTGATCCGTACTGGTTGTTCACTCTGCCAAACACGCCAAAGCTCGTCCACGACGGCGAGACGCTAAGCGGGATACGGAGCTGCTTTCAGGGCGCGTCGGAGAAACGAAGCTGTCGTTCTCGCCGAGCGCTTCATGAGATTAAAGAGCGAGAGACGGCGCCCTTTTCTCTGCAGGAGCTGAACCATCTTAACGGGAACATAAGTTATTCTAAAAGCAGCCGGAGATTTAAGGCGTGGATGGCGAGGGGGGCGGCGGCATCGATCGGACCCTGAAAGCACCGTCTCCACCTCCCCCCATCCACCCGCCATCCACCCGCCATCCACCCGCCCCGACGCCAAACGTCTGAC